AAATGCCTATTATTTTTACTAAACAATAGAGCGTACGGCTTTTGTAACCTGAAGAAAGCAGCATTTCAGCATCTCTTCCTACTGGAGCATATGGTGGTTAAGACCATGTGGGATGGATGAATGCCTTAGAGATTGCTTCTCATGGAGTTGATATGCAATCTTTTTAGTATTCCCCATTGCTCTTATGGTGGAAAGTTCCATGGAAGGGAGTGGAAGGGCTCAGTGACATTGTTCCATCCAGTGTTTAAAACTATTGTCAGGTATTCTTTTAAATAAAACTATTAGCCACATGGTGATTGCAAAACATGATTGCTTCTAAGAGCCTTTGTTTAAAGAGTTTGGTTTATTGTATTGTATGAAGAGTGCCTTTGACTAAGTGTAGTGAGATACCTCTTGGTGCTGTCTGGACAAGTTTAAAAATTAGGGGTGTTATCTTGAGAGTTTTATCCTAGTGTTTTACAGACCAACAGGAGATAGAATGTTTTGCTACTCCACGTAACAGGTTTTTTGTTTTGTAACTCTTTAAAGTGTTTTTTTTTTCCCCTTTTGACACTCAGGGGATTAATTTACTATTTATTTCTCCAGCTCACACCCTTAGAAAAAAACATAAAAATACAAATAAATCCCCCTGGCGGGTTTGCCTCTGTGGTTAGTTAGAGTGTTGGTCTGCAGTCTGAAAGGTTGTGGGTTCGACTCCCAGTCAAGGGCACATACCTCCTCGGTTGCAGGTTCGATCTCTGGCCCTGGTCAGGGTGCGAACGGGAGGCAACCAATCAGTGTCTCAACTTTCACATTGATGTTTTGTTTTGTTTCCTCTCTCTCTCCCCCCCCCCCCTCCTCTACACTCTCTAAAAAAAATATCCTCACTCCTCAGGTGAAGATTAAAAATAAATAAATAAAATAACCCAGTCAGTGGTTGAGCGTCGACCTATGAACCAGGAGTTCACGGTTCAATTCCCCGTCAGGGCATGCCTGGGTTGTGGGCTTGATCCCCAGTGAGGGGTGTGCAGGAGGCAGCCAATCAATTATTCTCTCATCATTAATGTTTCTATCTCCCTCTCTTTTCCTCTTTGAAATCAATAAAAAAATATATTTTTAAAAAATAGATCTGATTGGTATAATAATTTTTCCTTATAACTAGGTATGTGTGTTTTTTAAGCCTCACCTAAGGATATGTTTTGTTTGTTTTGTTTTTTTAAAAAGATTTTTAGAGAGGAAAGGAGAGAGAGAAAAATTAATGTGAGAGAGAAATATACATTGATTGCCTCTTGAACACACCCCAATTGGGGATCAAACCCCCAACCTGGGTATGTGCCATGACTGGGAATCGAACCCACGACACTTTGATGCACCAGATAGCCAAGGCTTAGTTAGTTGGGTATCCTCCCATGCACCAAAGGGTTGCTAGCTCCATTCCAGTGTGGGCTCAATCCCCGTTGTATGGGGCGCAGCTACAGTGTTTTGGACAGGTTTAAGCCTCGGACTAATAAGAGGACACAGTCCTCTCATGGCCACGTGCAAGTCCCAGCTGGAGGGCAGGGCCCTCCCAGCACAATTATAGCCAACAGCTATAGTTGTAAGCTGGAACCTATGGTCCGAACACGTGGCCCCACGTGCCTTGTGCTAGAGTTCAGGTGCATGTAGTTGAGTAGGGTTGAAACTCACGAGAATGCTGTAAACATCTTGATCACGCCCCTACTTTGCCTCATGGCATCTGCTATAAAATAAAGACATGGCTTGTGGGCGCTGGCACTGTCTCCTCATCAGGGAGCAGCGTCCCACCGAGACCCAGCTTTCATTCTCTTGTCTGTCTTTTCTTAATCCTTTCATCACCCCCACTCAGGATCACCCTTGGCTGTGCTGGTATGGCACATCGTTGGGCGGGGAATGGTGGTGTAAGAGGCAACCAATGAATGTTTTGTTCTCTCATCAATGTTCCTCTCTCTCTCTCTCCCTCCCTCTCTCTCTCTCTAAAAATCAATTTAAAAAATATTTTAAAATATTTTAATGGTTTAACATGTAATTCTATAAAAATTTTATTTGGTCATAGCTAATGGTGTCAAGAGCCAAATTAACACTTTAAAATATTCATGTTTCTGAGCCTTGAAGTGGTCAGCAAATGACATGGCAAAATTAATTTCAAATCCAACTCAAGCAACAGTGTAAAAAAATGCAGCAATTTTTCTTCAGGAAACTTTGTGCAAATTTTTTTTAGAGAAAGCTTCTGACTTCATGGGGAGTAGAAAACTAGCTTAGTTTATTTCATGCTGCTCAATCTAATTTGGAATCATTTTTTAAGTCCTAGATGCTTGGGTACAGAGATCTTGCTCCCTGGAGCCTTGTTTCCTGACAGTGGAGAGTTAAAGAATTAAATTGAGCTGAAACGAAATTGATTGACATTTTGACATTGTAAAGAGTGTGAAAATAATGGAAATTTTTTCAACTTTTTAAAACAGGCAGCAGTAGAAAGAACTATTTCCTTAAAGGTATCTCAGTTTGCAAAGATGATTTAATTATTTTCTTAAAAAACTGAGAGGCATATTCTAGCACTTTCCCAATTCCTTATATTACAGTCAAGCAAGAATTTAACTTGAAAAGCTTTTGAAAAAGCCTGAATGAGGGAAGTTAAAAATAGTCTCTTTGCTGAACAGGGACTGACAGAAGGTCTTTTAAGGAAAATCCAAAGGCCTATGCCCTCCGGGGTGTCACTATAGGAACCTATTTATAAAAGACAACTATACATATTTATGAAATCTTTATCTCCAGCATTTTTAAATGTGAGGGATATTAAGTGTGAATTGAGTAAGATACATTTCCTGCTGACTGTCTTTTTAATATGTTTTTATTGATTTTGGAGAGAGAGAGAAACAACGGGAGAAGCATCCATGAGAGATCGATCAGTTAGTTGGGCATCCTTCAGTGTACTGAAGGGTTGCTGGTTCGATTCCACTGTGCTCTGACCGGGAATCAATAGGGTGTCAATGCTCAATCACTGAGCAACACTGACTGGGCCTACTGACTTCTTTTTAAGACAGATTCAGATGATTACCGCGCCATCATCTTTCCTAAAAGACATCATTTAATGTTGACTTCAGTAAAATCTCATCTCTGCTGTGTCATGAAAGGAACTGGACCCATCACCTTAATAGTTCTGTTTACTAGTAAACAGCCTGCTGCCTTCTTTTTTTTTTAAATCACTGCAGGAGGTTGTAATAAATTACAGCCTGGAAGAAGTTTTTAAACTGGCAAGTTTGCCAGATATTTAAAGCAATTTATTTTGGGATGTATCAGCAGATTTTTTTTTTTTCTTACACTGCATTTGGGTGCATGCTGACGCAGCCAGAACAAATCTTTCAAACATTTTCCTTCCTAGAGATGGATGAATATAATGATGCACTGGACTCTAAGATCCAGACCTTTCACTAACTCTTCACTTGCCAATTGGTTCCTTCCTGTGACCGGATCTGTAGAAAACTTAGATATCTATTTCCAATATCTATTTTCAGTATGAGTTTGCCATATTTCTAGTCCCTCAGTGCCTTGGTAACAAGTTTTATGGAAGGATCAACTAACAGATGAATAATTCTGGTTTTAGACACTGAATTTATAGTTTAGATTATTTCATTACTAGTATATTGAAAATTGCCAAACTTCCCAATAGGAAAAGAGATCTGAAAGTTTATATTTAAAAAGACACAGTTCTTCTTGATTTTAGCATATGTTGAGTCTTATGGTGACTTTTTTTTCTTATTTTAGTCTCTTTTCTCCTATAATTGGATAGTGAAATTGTTTTTTTTTATTATTAATTTTTGGCTCTGGAATCGCTAAGGCAGCTTTAATGATATACATTTTAATCAAGTATTCAGAAAAGCTAAACATACTGGTGCCTAAAAATATTTGTCCTGATGAGATTAGGAGGAGGAGAGATAAGGGAGCTAACTTTTATTGAGTGCCTCCATGGGGCCAGCCTCTTTTGTAAGCCACTACATAACATGTAGGAGAGAGAGAAGAGATTCTCGTTTTACAAAGAGCTGGTCCCTAGTCAGGTGAAAGGCACTGCTCAGTGAGTTGTTAGGCACATGATAAAGGCTTAAAGGCTTAAACTCATGAAGGCCTCACGGATTGGTGGGAAAGGCCCTAGATCAGGAGTCATAAAACTGGAGAGTTCCTATCAAAGTGGCATCAAACAAGGTCAACTGGCTCGACTTTGAATTTGTACACATCTGTAAGTATGAGGATATCAACTCTAGCCTGTCTTCCTTTCTGGATTGTTTGGCACAATGTAATTCCCAAGCATGGCTGCACACTGGAATCACCTGGGGAGCTTTGAAAAATGCTGACATCTAGATTCCAACCTCAAGAGATTATTACGATTTGATTGGTCTTGGGTGCAGCTGATTACTGGGCGTTCTTAAATCTCCACAGGTGATTCACGTGTGCAGCTAAGGTGAATCTTTGGTTTGGAGGATGGTTAGGGAAGCGTTTTGTAAATTTATTTACAAGGGTTAGCAGACTGTCGATAATTTGTTTTTTTCCATCATAATTTCAACTGTTTTGCTTTTCTTTTTAAATCCAGCTAATCTCTGAATTTCCCCAGTCTTTAGCACATAGGAAGCCGTTGATAAATTGTTGCATTTATTAACGAACAGCCTTTTAAAGTTTTAAAGTCATCTGAAAAATGGGGTTTGTTTGAGATTCAATGTATACAGACTGTTAAAAGGACCTTTCTGTTGAAACATTCCCAAGAAATGTGCGAGCCTTTCTTGCCCACCCCCGGCTCGCTTCACTACTTCGCCCAAGTGGCGGCCGTTTGGGGATGACCCTTGTCCCCCCAAAGCCGACGCACGCAGCGGGATCCGGTGAGTGCCACGAACTCCGGGGCGGGGCGCAGCGGCGGGGTGGACCCGGCAGGCGTGGAGGGTCGGCCCAGCGCGGCGCCCCGCCCCGGACGCGGGTTGGGGCGGGCTGCTTGGCTGCGCCCTGCCGCCGGGATTCCACTGCCGAGCCCCAGGGCTGCGGTGGCTGCCTCCGCGCGACCCGGCGGTCCCAGTTCGGCCGCCGGGAGCCCGCGCTGTCCGCGCCTCCGGCCGGGCGGATCCCAACGCGATCGCCTCGTGCCCGAGCCGGGCGGGGGCCAGGATGCGGACCTGAAAGCCTTGAGCCGGCCTCATGACCCTGAGCACGTTGACTCGCGAAAGGAAGGCGCCTCCCGCCTGCACCTGCAGCCTCAGTGGCCCCGACATGATCCCCTACTTCTCTGCCAACGCGGTCATCTCGCAAAACGCCATCAACCAGCTGTGAGTGCGCCGCGCGCCCTCCTGCCCTCTGCTAACGCTCGGAAAGTTTGCGTGTTAGCAGTCGCTTTCCCCAGCAACTGGGGAGCAAGCAAGCGAGGGCGAAATTGCACCCTGCGTTCTTGGCGGTCCCGGGGCGTCCGGGGAGGATAGTGGGGTGGAGGTGGGGGTAATTCTTGGAGGCAGAAAGTGTCCAGGGTGGGGGTCGGGATGTTAACGGACAGAAGAATCCTTTGCGATCATTTCTGGTAAACTTTGAGGGTATCTGAAAGTGGGGTCTTCTCAGGGAGGTTGTTTGGTGACCGACTGACAGCCGAGCCATATGGCGCTCAGGAGACCGAAGGTGAAGGGCGGTGTGTAGCTTCTGAACAGCCAGCCGGAAACGCTAGGGCTCCTTTGCGGGTCCTGCTGGTGATCCAGCACCCGTGTTTGTTGTTTTGGTTTTTGTTTCAAATAAGTTTTCGTCTGACCATAGGTTTCTGTTGCAAGTCGTTCACACAAAGAAAGGCAGTTTATTCTTCGCTCCCGCTGGTTGTGGTCTGGAATTATTTCAAAAACTGGATTTCAGTAGTTTGGCTGTTTTTTTGTCTTCCCCTGTAGTAGTACGTGCTCACAACCCAAGCCTGTATGCAAAGCTTCATTCACTAAAGTGCAAGATTCAGGCGCATCTTTGTGACTGTTTTTGAAGTCTCTGGAGTTCTCCTTCCTTTAAATTTGTGGTTTAGCCATTTTTGAGAACTGTGGGCTGAAGCTGAATCTCACCTCGCAGTTATAAAGCGCAAAGCAAAGGAACTGCATCTATTCAAGTCGCATCCTCAAACCAGTGGAGTGGTTTAGTTTACTTTAGATAGCAGGAGTTTGGTCTTAGTAGTGTATTAGCACTCACTCTTGAGTGGCTTCAGGAAAGTCACCTACTGAGGTGTTCTGGACTCCTGGAACTTAATAAGGCTTCAGTCTTCCTCCCAGGTCACCCTTAAGGGACTTTTAAATGAATGTCCAACAACAGAAACTTTCCATTATTTCTTATTAAAGGTCCCAACAATGGCATGTAGAGTGATTTATAAATAATCTTACATCTATTTTATTATTTTAATTAATGGTTTGCCCTTCTACCAAATCAAATTAAATTCATTTGAGTTTCAGCTTTTTCCCTTTGTGTAGATTCATGGGGGAGCTCCTAAAAAATAGCCCCCCGCCAAAAATAAGTGCTTTTACTGCTCTGTACTGTAAACTCCACAGAATTAAATCAACTGTTTACTTGTGTTTTCCCTTTAAAAAAAAAGATACATATGGAATGACAAAGAAGAAAGGGAGTAAATAATCTGAAACTGGACAACCAATCTCAAAATAATAGTGTCAACAATATTTTAAAAATGAAAAAAGTAGTGGGAGCAACTCACATGTCCATCAATGGATCAATGGATAAACAAAATATGTATATAATACAACTAAGTATCTCTTAGCCTTTAAAAGGAAGGAAATTCTGACAAATGCTATATCATGGATAAACTTTGAAGACATTATTCCAAGTGAAAAAAAGCCATAAAAAAGGAAAAATGCCATATAATTCCACATATATGAGGTACCTGGAGTATAGTTGCCAGGGCTTGAGGGAGGAGGAATGGGAGGTTTGTGTTAAATAGGTACAAAGTTTCATTTGAGGAAGAAGAAAAAGTTTTGGGGATGATTGCGTAACAATGTGAATTATTTAATGCTGCTGAACTGTACTTAAAAATGGTTAAAAGGCAAATTTTGTTATGTATGTATAACTACAGTTTTAACGAAGATCAAACAGGCCACGCTCTCTCTAGAGCAGGGGTGGGCCATATAAGATCCTAGAAATCATTTGGTCTAGCCCTGCGAAGGCCTTAGGGGTGAGTTAGTTAAATGTTTGACCAAATGTAGCAAGCTAAATTTTAAGGAGAGCATGCTGGTGCCTTCTCCTTTTCTTCCCTCAAGGTGCCTGCATACCTTTGCTTTCTCCTGAGCTCCAAGGGCTCTTCTTTTGCCTCTGTAACTTGTTTCCTGAGCCCACGCAGACCAGCTGGCACATTTCTTCCACGGCTCACTTCTACTTCTGTGACTTTCTAAGTAAACTTTTGCTTGTATTTGAGTCTTGGCTATGAATTCTTTCTTAACCAGAACTCAAATACCACGATTGCTGAACAAAGGTCTAACATCTGGTGCCCTTTTGCCACTAACACATCCAGGCTCCACTCACCTCCAACCTGTTGTATGCCCTGGAAGCCTTACCAGACTGCATTGCCTGGACATGCTGTTAGCTGCCTTTCAACTGTATTCACCCAGTGGGAAGTAAGAAAGAAAAAGAAAAAAGATTAAGCAAAATTTAAAAAGCAGAGCTTATAAACTTTTAGCAGGGCACATGCTGCAGGAGGCAGCTGATCAATGATTCTCTCTCATCATTGCTATTTCTATCTTTCCCTCTCCCTTCCTCTCCAATAAAAAAAAAATTTTTTTAAAGTGTTGAAACTTAAGTGATTAAGACATTGCTTGATTTTTTAACGAGGTTACCTTGAGCTTTTTGTCCTTGACCTAAAATGTTTATTTTCTTGTTTCATATATGAGTTTGACTTCCTAGCTTGATGTTTGACTTCAGACTCAGCAAAAGAGGAGTATATCGAGATTATTATCCAAAAATGTATCTTTTAATGAAATTGAAAAGTGGGACCAGTTTTATTTTTGTTTAATTAGTAATGGTACTAGTGCTCTATAGTAGTTAGCCAAGTAAGTTCAGTTTTGCTCTATATTTACCCAAGTGATTTCACATGTGCTCATCTCTGAACTTAAGCTTGCTTCTGAATCACCTAGTTGACTTATGAAAACATAAATTGCTGACCCACATCCCCAGAGTTTCTGATTCTGTAGGTTTGGGGTGAGGCTGGAGAAGATGCTGCTGCTGCTGATGGTCCAGGGACCACATCCTTAAAGTATTCCTCTGAGGCATATTGGACAAGTTGTCATCACATTTTACAGAGTAAAAAACTAAAAAATGTTAAAATGGTCAAGTGATTGTTTTGGTGATTGTTTTTTGCACAGGGGTTACATGATTTGTTGTTGTTGGTAGAACTAGACTAGAACCAGCATTTCCTGTCTCCCAATTCAGAGCTCTTGTGGTCTGCATTTGAAGTTCTGATACATATATCTTTATATACATACTAGAGGCCTGGTGCACAGATTCATGCACCAGTGGGGCCCCTCGGCCTGGCCTGTGGGGATCAGGCCAAAACCAGCTCTCCGACATCTAGCAATCCATAGGGGTCATGGATTGCTAGAGGGCACAGGCCAGGCCAACAGACCCCACCGGTGCACAAATTCGTGCACCAGTCCTCTAGTATGCATATAAGATCTTTGGTTAATCTCTTCCCGTCCTCCCCCCATTCTTTCAGAAATTCATCAGTCTGTTCCATGTTTTCATGCCTGGGTTTCCACTCCTGCATTGAGTGTCTGCCCCCTGGTGGTCAGTGCGAGTCATAGCTACCAGTCAGACAATCGAATAGTCGGCCAGTTGGCCAGTCGCTTAGGCTTTTATATATAGACTAGTAGCCCGGTGCACAAAAATTTGTGCACTGGGGGCTTGGGGGGTGCGGGGTGGGGCCAGACCCCTCAGCCCGACCTGCACCCTCTGTCATGTTCCAAGACCCCGGCCACTCCTGGCATAGGCACAGGCCTACAGGCTTGGGGCGGCCTGGCTCCCGAGGCCCCATTTTATCAAGAGAACAAAGTCGGCGTTAGTTACAGCCCTCACCAAACCCAGTACAGTGCATCTGTGCGTACAACTGCCTCGTTCATGTGCCTGCTTCGCCCTACTGAATTACTAACATCTTGAGGACATAGCTCTGTCTTATCCTGCTTCAACTTCAGTGCCTGGCCTGGTGCCAGGGACCTGAGAGGGTTTGCTGAGTGAGTGAGTGAATAATGAGTGAGTGAATGAATGAATGAGCAAGTAAGTGAATGAGCATAGTTTGCGCAGGGCAAAGGCTGCCCGGGTTCTCCGCCTTTGCCCTGCCACCCGGCTCTTGCCTGCCACCTGGGTTTCCAATCACCGTCAGCGGCAGGCGGCTTCTTCCATCCTTCCCCTTTCACCTCCCATCATTGTGCCTACGTATGCAAATTAACCGCCATCTTTGTTGGCAGTTAATTTGCATATTGCCCTGATTAGCCTATGGGAAGCGTAGCGGAGGTACGGTTAATTACCCTTTTTGTCTTTTATTAGATAGGATAGGAACATTTCTTTAGGTAAATTTCTAGCAGTGAATTTCTGGGTCTAATGATATGTATAAGTTATATATTTGATACATACTGCCAAATTGCCTTCTGAAAAGGCTTTGCCAATTTGCTCTTACCAGTTGTAAGAGTATGTCTTTCCCTGTATCTTCACCAACCCTGATAATATTAATAATGACATTAAATAGCAGTTATTTTTTTACTATGTGCCAGGCATTGTTTTATCATCATTCTCTCTTCTTAACAACCTTATGAGTTAGATATTACACTTCATTAGAGATGAGAGACACAGAGATGTTGAGTAACTTGTCTAAAATTATAGTCAGGATGGAAACACAAACATAAACAGTCTGACTCCAGGATCCTTACTCTTAAATACTTCTCTATTTGCAAATCCCGTATTACTATGGAAGTTTAGCATCCTTTTATATTTGTATTGGTCTTTTTCATTTTTCTGCTATGATTTGCATGTTTGTACTTAATAGCCATTTTTCTATTGGTATTTGTTTTTTTCTTTTTGTTTTTTTCTTTTTTTAAAAAAATATATTTTATTGATTTTTTACAGAGAGGAAGGGAGAGAGATAGTTAGAAACATCGATGAGAGAGAAACATTGATCAGCTGCCTCCTGCACATCTCCCACTGGGGATGTGCCCGCAACCCAGGTACATGCCCTTGACTGGAATCGAACCCGGGACCCTTCAGTCCGCAGGCCGACGCTCTATCCACTGAGCCAAACCGGTCTCGGCTGTTTTTTGTT